CCTGGTTGGGAGTGCTGGGTGTGCAGGTGTCAGCACTGTGGGCTGGCCCATCCTGGATCCTGCAGGCTTCTGCAGGAGGGCTGTGCATTGCCCCTGACTGTATTTCTTCCTCAGTGTGGCACTGCTTTAAGGCCTGCTGAGGGCTGATGGAGCAGCTGCTTTTGGTGAGCACCGTGTCCTGGGACAGAGTCAGCAGTTCTGTGCTTGAGGTTTTGGGGCCCACAAGGTCTGATTTGCCAGTGGAACCTGCAAAGAGGGGCAGCAGCAAGGTTGTAAGGACAGTCCCCAGGCTGCAGGCAGGAGAGGCCGCTGTGGTATCCCGCCCTTTCCAGGAGCCAAGCTGTGTGCCGAGGGCCCTGGTGCCAGGCCCGTTGTAGTCCCTGTGTGGATTGCATAGTGCTGAAAGCTTTGTTGCCTACCAGTGTTGGTGGCAGCACAGGTGCTGCACTCCCAGGAGCAGGTGCTGTTCCCCAAAGAGGAGCAGAGTCGGTGGATGCCCTCAGCAGCACAGGAGCTGCAGAGCCGCAGTTGCCAGGGTCTGGAGGAGCAAGGAGGTGGTGAGGAGAAAGTGTCAGGGCAGGGAGTGCCTGGCAGAGCCCTTGTGCGTAATTCTACATCCCTGTGCTTGTGGGGAGCCAGATCCCCCTCAGATCGCTGCATTGCTGCTTTGGCAGCTTACCCGTGTGCCTGCGAGTGCTCCCTGCCTCCTGGACAAAGGCACGTTGTGGCATCGCAGCGGCCGTGCCTCTGATCTGAGGGTCCGACGTCTGGGTCACTCTGCCATGATGGGGGTCTGCCAGAGAAGGGAGGGAAAGAGCTGAGCCCACATGAGGCAGGTGGCCGCAGTCACTGCTCCTTTGCCTGTCCCATTTGCAGGGACTGGTTGGAGCTGAGGGCAAGAGGGACAGGCCAGAGGGTGGGCAGGCCTGGCAGGGCAGTCCCTAGGCGGGCACTGTGCTTGTGCCTGGTGCCTTGTGAGCTGGGAGGAGAAAAGCCAACCTCTTAGAGAGTCGGATCCCCATGGTGAGCATTTCCGTCATGAACGGCTCTTGTTTGAGGCAACGCGGGCATCGGAAGTCAATGCCAGCGTGCAGAGCCAGTCTCTGGATGCAGTGCCGGTGGAAGCGGGCGTCTTGGCACGCGGGACACGCCATGGTTATGTAGGAGATGTTGTCTTCCACCGTGTCCAGGCAGATGGTGCAGGTGTTGTCCTGGCTTGGACGTGGCCGCAGTGCCTGCTGTGGGCGGTGCTCCCAGCAGAAGGACCTGTGAGGAAGATGGAGGAGATGGGTGAGGGAAGGGTGAAGTGCAGAGCCCTTGGGATGTGCTGGCAGTGTGGTTTCAGGAGGTGTGAGGGAGCCCCAGCCCCTGTGTGGGTTCTGTCCCTGTGTGTGGCATGTTGCTGGCAACCATGGGTTCCCGCCTTTTGCTTTCAATCAAATGCAAAGGGCTTGGAGAGAAATGCAGGGGTTCTGAGGGTGAGGGTGGGCAGCCCTTACCTGTAGGCCCCGAAGTACTGGGTGACACATTGTCCGTCTGGGGCACAGGGCAGGTGGAAGGTGCGGTCGCAGCCCGTCTGGCAGCAGGTGATGGTGGCCCCCATCTTGCAGCAGATGAAACAGCTCTGGAAAGAGCACAGCAGCCCCATGAATGTCAGGAATGGAGCTTTTTGGTCTGTTTGCATCTCCAGACACTGAGTGGGATGTGGGCAGAGCCAGGTCAGAGTCCCCAGAGCCACGTGCGCACGAGGCCCCTGCAAGAGCCAGGCCTGGGGCTTCTTTGCTGGGGAGCAGGAGGAGGTGGCCAAGCCTCTCCTGGTGCAAAGCTGCCTGCTCCTCCTGCCAGGTCATGCCCACCTTCTTGGCTGCTGCCCTGATGATGCGCCTGGTGTCCCCAACGAGAAAGTGTCCAGTGTCCTCGCGTGGGTAAAGCCCAGTGGCGAGGATCTGCAAGGCAGGGAAGGCCGAGAGCTTGTTAGGTCAGGGAGGCAGGGCCCTTGTGGGTTGAAAGCTTGAGGGAGTCTCAAGAGAATTCACCTGGCAGTAGGTGTGGACACAGAGCTTGAACTTCATTCTCTTGTCCCCACAGAGTTCGTTGTCCTGGGTGTGGTGGCACAGCATGCAGGCTGCAGAGACAGAGCAAGTGCCCCGGGCATGAGCAGGTCTGTGGGGCTGGGCAAGTGTCCATGCAGGATCAGCCCCAGGGCCCTGCAGAGTCTTTGCTCTGCTGGCTGAAGGGCAGAGCAGGTCAGGCGTGGCTGCCCCAGCAAGTGCCCAGAGCTCAGCCCAGTGTGGGAGCTCCTGCCTGGGCCTGGCCTGGTTCTTGGCTCCTCACTGACTTCCTTGCAACGCCCTGTGCCAGTGCCAGGGAGCTGTGGGGAGGGAGGCTTCTGCTCTTACCTTTTTCCTTGGGGAGAGTTTCTGGCCGTGCCCTCTTGGATCCTGAGGAGGTTGATGGTGAGCGGCCGGAGCGTCTCTTGCGCTGGCCTGCTGGCATTTCTCCTCTTCACACGCTGCACTACTCCTAAGTCAGGGGAGAGATGTGTGTGAGCTGTGTCAGAGGCAGCAGAAGCCTCTGACTTACCCTGGTGCCTGAGCAGCCTCAGGCAAGCTCCTTCTCCACGACCTCTCCTCGACTCTGAGGGTGGTGTTGATGTGCAGGCGTTATTTGTGGCTTAGGCCAGGGTGATGATGTCACTGGGCCACTGTGACATGGGCAGCACTGATGTGTGGTGATGGGCGATGGTGGTGCCGTGCCCATCCCAAGTGGTGATGTTGCAGTAGTGGCTTCTTTGGAAGGGATGGGATTAACTTCTGCTGGGAGTAAATTTTGTATTTGTGACCAAATGAATGTGGGTGAGCCAGGGCTGTGGGAGGCATGGTTGAGCAGGGGTGGTGCGGCCTGTCGTGCTGCTGAGCCCCAGCTCTCCAGGGAGCAGGCTGGTGGCAACATCTGCTGGCAGGGGACACAGGTGGGACAGCAGATCCCCGGATGGCAGGGAGAGGCCAGAGCTGACACCAAGTCTGCTGGGTGCGGGATGGTTCCCCCGGCAAGGGAACTCCTGTGTGGGTGCGGGCAGGTCACTCCTTGGTGGGTGCTGGAGGAGCGGCTCCTCGCCGTCCACCGTGAGCACAGTCGCGGATGGATATGGATGGCGGGACCAGGGCGAAGGAGGACCCGAGGCACTGGGGCAAATGCAACTGGGTTTATTTGGGGGAAGCCCGAGGGTCCAAGGAGGGAGGGAATCAGGACTACAAGTGCAGTTGAAGCGAGCTGGTGTCAGGGGTGAGCTGGTGGGCCGAAGCGGGATGGCAGGGGGTTTATAAAGGGGAAAGTGTAGGCAGGGTCGAGGTACAAATCAAGCAGTGGGTAGAGGGCTCGGAGGAGAGGACAAGGTTGGGTGATGGTGGGTGCACCTATGAGGATGTGGGGAGAGGGTGGTGTGCTTACAGAGTCCGGTGGGGGAGTGAGGAAGAGGGAATATTCCAGAAGGGAGGGAGTGGACAAGAGGTGATTGATGTTGATACGGTAGAATCCTCCCAGGGCGCCTCTGCCCCATCTTCCCTTTCCCCTCCTCCCACAGGAATGTGCTGTCAACCCTGGGGACGTAGATCTGTGTTCGTTAGAGTGAGAGAAGCTTGAAGGAAGTTTGAAGAAAATTACTGGGAAATACATATGCGTTCTCATAGTGTAAAAAAACTTTATTTTTTGTGTATGTCTATCCGTCTATGTATTTATGTATCAATGTATGGATGTATGTATGTATGGACCTATCTGTCTATCTATCTATCTATCTATCTATCTATCTATCTATCTATCTAAACTATCTATCTATCTTTCTTTCTTTATCTATTTATATTATTTGATTATGTGTCTTTGATGGGTGAGGGTGATGGGGGTGTGGGCAGGCTGACATTTGGTGCTGCTGTGTAATTGTGGCCGGCTGTAGGGTTTTTTTGCCCGCCGTTGTTGCTGCCAGACGTGTCTCATGCGAATGGGCCCAGGCTGGGAGCGGTTGTCCATCGTGGATCCGTGGAAGATCCATGGAGGCCTGTATGGACGTTGTGGCCGTGGTGCTGGACTGTTGGCAGCCAAAGTGCCCTCAGACAGCCCCAGCGCTGCCTGTGTGGAAGTGCTGGGGCTGCTTTCATCAGCACTCTGGGCTGGCCCAGTGTCAATCCTGCGGCGTTTTGCTGGTGGGCCGTATGACACCACTGAGGCACTGTCTTTCTTTGGATAGCCACGTTTGAAGGCACACCGAGGGCAAGAGGAAGAGCTGGTGGTCTTGGCCAGGCACTTGCCCTGGGAGAGCTGTGATGCTACCTGGCTGGAAGTGCTGGGTGTGCAGGTGTCAGCACTCTGGGCTGGCCCAGTGTCAATCCTGCGGCGTTTTGCTGGTGGGCCGTATGACACCACTGAGGCACTGTCTTTCTTCGGATAGCCACGTTTGAAGGCACACCGAGGGCAAGAGGAAGAGCCGGTGGTCTTGGCCAGGCACTTGCCCTGGTAGAGCTGTGGTGCTGCCTGGTTGGGAGTGCTGGGTGTGCAGGTGTCAGCACTGTGGGCTGGCCCATCCTGGATCCTGCAGGCTTCTGCAGGAGGGCTGTGCATTGCCCCTGACTGTATTTCTTCCTCAGTGTGGCACTGCTTTAAGGCCTGCTGAGGGCTGATGGAGCAGCTGCTTTTGGTGAGCACCGTGTCCTGGGACAGAGTCAGCAGTTCTGTGCTTGAGGTTTTGGGGCCCACAAGGTCTGATTTGCCAGTGGAACCTGCAAAGAGGGGCAGCAGCAAGGTTGTAAGGACAGTCCCCAGGCTGCAGGCAGGAGAGGCCGCTGTGGTATCCCGCCCTTTCCAGGAGCCAAGCTGTGTGCCGAGGGCCCTGGTGCCAGGCCCGTTGTAGTCCCTGTGTGGATTGCATAGTGCTGAAAGCTTTGTTGCCTACCAGTGTTGGTGGCAGCACAGGTGCTGCACTCCCAGGAGCAGGTGCTGTTCCCCAAAGAGGAGCAGAGTCGGTGGATGCCCTCAGCAGCACAGGAGCTGCAGAGCCGCAGTTGCCAGGGTCTGGAGGAGCAAGGAGGTGGTGAGGAGAAAGTGTCAGGGCAGGGAGTGCCTGGCAGAGCCCTTGTGCGTAATTCTACATCCCTGTGCTTGTGGGGAGCCAGATCCCCCTCAGATCGCTGCATTGCTGCTTTGGCAGCTTACCCGTGTGCCTGCGAGTGCTCCCTGCCTCCTGGACAAAGGCACGTTGTGGCATCGCAGCGGCCGTGCCTCTGATCTGAGGGTCCGACCTCTGGGTCACTCTGCCATGATGGGGGTCTGCCAGAGAAGGGAGGGAAAGAGCTGAGCCCACATCAGGCAGGTGGCCGCAGTCACTGCTCCTTTGCCTGTCCCATTTGCAGGGACTGGTTGGAGCTGAGGGCAAGAGGGACAGGGCAGAGGGTGGGTAGGCCCGGCAGGGCAGTCCCTAGGCGGGCACTGTGCTTGTGCCTGGTGCCTTGTGAGCTGGGAGGAGAAAAGCCAACCTCTTAGAGAGTCGGATCCCCATGGTGAGCATTTCCGTCATGAACGGCTCTTGTTTGAGGCAACGCGGGCATCGGAAGTCAATGCCAGCGTGCAGAGCCAGTCTCTGGATGCAGTGCCGGTGGAAGCGGGCGTCTTGGCACGCGGGACACGCCATGGTTATGTAGGAGATGTTGTCTTCCACCGTGTCCAGGCAGATGGTGCAGGTGTTGTCCTGGCTTGAATGTGGCCGCAGTGCCTGCTGTGGGCGGTGCTCCCAGCAGAAGGACCTGTGAGGAAGATGGAGGAGATGGGTGAGGGAAGGGTGAAGTGCAGAGCCCTTGGGCTGTGCTGGCAGTGTGGTTTCAGGAGGTGTGAGGGAGCCCCAGCCCCTGTGTGGGTTCTGTCCCTGTGTGTGGCACGTTGCTGGCAACCATGGGTTCTCGCCTTATGCATTCACTGGAATGTAAAGGGCTTGGAGAGAAATGCAGGGGTTCCGAGGGTGAGGGTGGGCAGCCCTTACCTGTAGGCCCCGAAGTACTGGGTGACACATTGTCCGTCTGGGGCACAGGGCAGGTGGAAGGTGCGGTCGCAGCCCGTCTGGCAGCAAGTGATGGTGGCCCCCATCTTGCAGCAGATGAAACAGGTCTGGAAAGAGCACAGCAGCCCCATGAATGTCAGGACTGGAGCTTTTTGGTCTGTTTGCATCTCCAGACAGTGAGTGGGATGTGGGCAGAGCCAGGTCAGAGTCCCCAGAGCCACGTGCGCACGAGGCCCCTGCAAGAGCCAGGCCTGGGGCTTCTTTGCTGGGGAGCAGGAGGAGGTGGCCAAGCCTCTCCTGGTGCAAAGCTGCCTGCTCCTCCTGCCAGGTCATGCCCACCTTCTTGGCTGCTGCCCTGATGATGCGCCTGGTGTCCCCAGCGAGAAAGTGTCCAGTGTCCTCGCGTGGGTAAAGCCCAGTGGCGAGGATCTGCAAGGCAGGGAAGGCCGAGAGCTTGTTAGGTCAGGGAGGCAGGGCCCTTGTGGGCTGAAAGCTGGAGGGAGTCTCAAGAGAATTCACCTGGCAGTAGGTGTGGACACAGAGCTTGAACTTCATTCTCTTGTCCCCACAGAGTTCGTTGTCCTGGGTGTGGTGGCACAGCATGCAGGCTGCAGAGACAGAGCAAGTGCCCCGGGCATGAGCAGGTCTGTGGGGCTGGGCAAGTGTCCATGCAGGATCAGCCCCAGGGCCCTGCAGAGTCTTTGCTCTGCTGGCTGAAGGGCAGAGCAGGTCAGGCGTGGCTGCCCCAGCAAGTGCCCAGAGCTCAGCCCAGTGTGGGAGCTCCTGCCTGGGCCTGGCCTGGTTCTTGGCTCCTCACTGACTTCCTTGCAACGCCCTGTGCCAGTGCCAGGGAGCTGTGGGGAGGGAGGCTTCTGCTCTTACCTTTTTCCTTGGGGAGAGTTTCTGGCCGTGCCCTCTTGGATCCTGAGGAGGTTGATGGTGAGCGGCCGGAGCGTCTCTTGCGCTGGCCTGCTGGCATTTCTCCTCTTCACACGCTGCACTACTCCTAAGTCAGGGGAGAGATGTGTGTGAGCTGTGTCAGAGGCAGCAGAAGCCTCTGACTTACCCTGGTGCCTGAGCAGCCTCAGGCAAGCTCCTTCTCCACGACCTCTCCTCGACTCTGAGGGTGGTGTTGATGTGCAGGCGTTATTTGTGGCTTAGGCCAGGGTGATGATGTCACTGGGCCACTGTGACATGGGCAGCACTGATGTGTGGTGATGGGCGATGGTGGTGCCGTGCCCATCCCAAGTGGTGATGTTGCAGTAGTGGCTTCTTTGGAAGGGATGGGATTAACTTCTGCTGGGAGTAAATTTTGTATTTGTGACCAAATGAATGTGGGTGAGCCAGGGCTGTGGGAGGCATGGTTGAGCAGGGGTGGTGCGGCCTGTCGTGCTGCTGAGCCCCAGCTCTCCAGGGAGCAGGCTGGTGGCAACATCTGCTGGCAGGGGACACAGGTGGGACAGCAGATCCCCGGATGGCAGGGAGAGGCCAGAGCTGACACCAAGTCTGCTGGGTGCGGGATGGTTCCCCCAGCAAGGGAACTCCTGTGTGGGTGCGGGCATGTCACTCCTTGGTGGGTGCTGGAGGAGCGGCTCCTCGCCGTCCACCGTGAGCACAGTCGCGGATGGATATGGATGGCGGGACCAGGGCGAAGGAGGACCCGAGGCACTGGGGCAAATGCAACTGGGTTTATTTGGGGGAAGCCCGAGGGTCCAAGGAGGGAGGGAATCAGGACTACAAGTGCAGTTGAAGCGAGCTGGTGTCAGGGGTGAGCTGGTGGGCCGAAGCGGGATGGCAGGGGGTTTATAAAGGGGAAAGTGTAGGCAGGGTCGAGGTACAAATCAAGCAGTGGGTAGAGGGCTCGGAGGAGAGGACAAGGTTGGGTGATGGTGGGTGCACCTATGAGGATGTGGGGAGAGGGTGGTGTGGTTACAGAGTCCGGTGGGGGAGTGAGGAAGAGGGAATATTCCAGAAGGGAGGGAGTGGACAAGAGGTGATTGATGTTGATACGGTAGAATCCTCCCAGGGCGCCTCTGCCCCATCTTCCCTTTCCCCTCCTCCCACAGGAATGTGCTGTCAACCCTGGGGACGTAGATCTGTGTTCGTTAGAGTGAGAGAAGCTTGAAGGAAGTTTGAAGAAAATTACTGGGAAATACATATGCGTTCTCATAGTGTAAAAAAACTTTATTTTTTGTGTATGTCTATCCGTCTATGTATTTATGTGTCAATGTATGGATGTATGTATGTATGGACCTATCTGTCTATCTATCTATCTATCTATCTATCTATCTATCTAAACTATCTATCTATCTTTCTTTCTTTATCTATTTATATTATTTGATTATGTGTCTTTGATGGGTGAGGGTGATGGGGGTGTGGGCAGGCTGACATTTGGTGCTGCTGTGTAATTGTGGCCGGCTGTAGGGTTTTTTTGCCCGCCGTTGTTGCTGCCAGACGTGTCTCATGCGAATGGGCCCAGGCTGGGAGCGGTTGTCCATCGTGGATCCGTGGAAGATCCATGGAGGCCTGTATGGACGTTGTGGCCGTGGTGCTGGACTGTTGGCAGCCAAAGTGCCCTCAGACAGCCCCAGCGCTGCCTGTGTGGAAGTGCTGGGGCTGCTTTCATCAGCACTCTGGGCTGGCCCAGTGTCAATCCTGCGGCGTTTTGCTGGTGGGCCGTATGACACCACTGAGGCACTGTCTTTCTTCGGATAGCCACGTTTGAAGGCACACCGAGGGCAAGAGGAAGAGCCGGTGGTCTTGGCCAGGCACTTGCCCTGGTAGAGCTGTGGTGCTGCCTGGTTGGGAGTGCTGGGTGTGCAGGTGTCAGCACTGTGGGCTGGCCCATCCTGGATCCTGCAGGCTTCTGCAGGAGGGCTGTGCGTTGCCCCTGACTGTATTTCTTCCTCAGTGTGGCACTGCTTTAAGGCCTGCTGAGGGCTGATGGAGCAGCTGCTCTTGGTGAGCACCGTGTCCTGGGACAGAGTCAGCAGTTCTGTGCTTGAGGTTTTGGGGCCCACAAGGTCTGATTTGCCAGTGGAACCTGCAAAGAGGGGCAGCAGCAAGGTTGTAAGGACAGTCCCCAGGCTGCAGGCAGGAGAGGCCGCTGTGGTATCCCGCCCTTTCCAGGAGCCAAGCCGTGTGACAAAGGCCCTGGTGCTAGGCCCGTTGTAGTCCCTGTGTGGATTGCATAGTGCTGAAAGCTTTGTTGCCTACCAGTGTTGGTGGCAGCACAGGTGCTGCACTCCCAGGAGCAGGTGCTGTTCCCCAAAGAGGAGCAGAGTCGGTGGATGCCCTCAGCAGCACAGGAGCTGCAGAGGCGCAGTTGTCAGGGTCTGGAGGAGCAAGGAGGTGGTGAGGAGAAAGTGTCAGGGCAGGGAGTGCCTGGCAGAGCCCTTGTGCGTAATTCTACATCCCTGTGCTTGTGGGGAGCCAGATCCCCCTCAGATCGCTGCATTGCTGCTTTGGCAGCTTACCCGTGTGCCTGCGAGTGCTCCCTGCCTCCTGGACAAAGGCACGTTGTGGCATCGCAGCGGCCGTGCCTCTGATCTGAGGGTCCGACCTCTGGGTCACTCTGCCATGATGGGGGTCTACCAGAGAAGGGAGGGAAAGAGCTGAGCCCACATCAGGCAGGTGGCCGCAGTCACTGCTCCTTTGCCTGTCCCATTTGCAGGGACTGGTTGGAGCTGAGGGCAAGAGGGACAGGCCAGAGGGTGGGCAGGCCCGGCAGGGCAGTCCCTAGGCGGGCACTGTGCTTGTGCCTGGTGCCTTGTGAGCTGGGAGGAGAAAAGCCAACCTCTTAGAGAGTCGGATCCCCATGGTGAGCATTTCCGTCATGAACGGCTCTTGTTTGAGGCAACGCGGGCATCGGAAGTCAATGCCAGCGTGCAGAGCCAGTCTCTGGATGCAGTGCCGGTGGAAGCGGGCGTCTTGGCACGCGGGACACGCCATGGTTATGTAGGAGATGTTGTCTTCCACCGTGTCCAGGCAGATGGTGCAGGTGTTGTCCTGGCTTGAACGTGGCCGCAGTGCCTGCTGTGGGCGGTGCTCCCAGCAGAAGGACCTGTGAGGAAGATGGAGGAGATGGGTGAGGGAAGGGTGAAGTGCAGAGCCCTTGGGCTGTGCTGGCAGTGTGGGTTCAGGAGGTGTGAGGGAGCCCCAGCCCCTGTGTGGGTTCTGTCCCTGTGTGTGGCATGTTGCTGGCAACCATGGGTTCCCGCCTTTTGCTTTCAATCAAATGTAAAGGGCTTGGAGAGAAATGCAGGGGTTCTGAGGGTGAGGGTGGGCAGCCCTTACCTGTAGGCCCCGAAGTACTGGGTGACACATTGTCCGTCTGGGGCACAGGGCAGGTGGAAGGTGCGGTCGCAGCCCGTCTGGCAGCAGGTGATGGTGGCCCCCATCTTGCAGCAGATGAAACAGGTCTGGAAAGAGCACAGCAGCCCCATGAATGTCAGGACTGGAGCTTTTTGGTCTGTTTGCATCTCCAGACAGTGAGTGGGATGTGGGCAGAGCCAGGTCAGAGTCCCCAGAGCCACGTGCGCACGAGGCCCCTGCAAGAGCCAGGCCTGGGGCTTCTTTGCTGGGGAGCAGGAGGAGGTGGCCAAGCCTCTCCTGGTGCAAAGCTGCCTGCTCCTCCTGCCAGGTCATGCCCACCTTCTTGGCTGCTGCCCTGATGATGCGCCTGGTGTCCCCAGCGAGAAAGTGTCCAGTGTCCTCGCGTGGGTAAAGCCCAGTGGCGAGGATCTGCAAGGCAGGGAAGGCCGAGAGCTTGTTAGGTCAGGGAGGCAGGGCCCTTGTGGGCTGAAAGCTGGAGGGAGTCTCAAGAGAATTCACCTGGCAGTAGGTGTGGACACAGAGCTTGAACTTCATTCTCTTGTCCCCACAGAGTTCGTTGTCCTGGGTGTGGTGGCACAGCATGCAGGCTGCAGAGACAGAGCAAGTGCCCCGGGCATGAGCAGGTCTGTGGGGCTGGGCAAGTGTCCATGCAGGATCAGCCCCAGGGCCCTGCAGAGTCTTTGCTCTGCTGGCTGAAGGGCAGAGCAGGTCAGGCGTGGCTGCCCCAGCAAGTGCCCAGAGCTCAGCCCAGTGTGGGAGCTCCTGCCTGGGCCTGGCCTGGTTCTTGGCTCCTCACTGACTTCCTTGCAACGCCCTGTGCCAGTGCCAGGGAGCTGTGGGGAGGGAGGCTTCTGCTCTTACCTTTTTCCTTGGGGAGAGTTTCTGGCCGTGCCCTCTTGGATCCTGAGGAGGTTGATGGTGAGCGGCCGGAGCGTCTCTTGCGCTGGCCTGCTGGCATTTCTCCTCTTCACACGCTGCACTACTCCTAAGTCAGGGGAGAGATGTGTGTGAGCTGTGTCAGAGGCAGCAGAAGCCTCTGACTTACCCTGGTGCCTGAGCAGCCTCAGGCAAGCTCCTTCTCCACGACCTCTCCTCGACTCTGAGGGTGGTGTTGATGTGCAGGCGTTATTTGTGGCTTAGGCCAGGGTGATGATGTCACTGGGCCACTGTGACATGGGCAGCACTGATGTGTGGTGATGGGCGATGGTGGTGCCGTGCCCATCCCAAGTGGTGATGTTGCAGTAGTGGCTTCTTTGGAAGGGATGGGATTAACTTCTGCTGGGAGTAAATTTTGTATTTGTGACCAAATGAATGTGGGTGAGCCAGGGCTGTGGGAGGCATGGTTGAGCAGGGGTGGTGCGGCCTGTCGTGCTGCTGAGCCCCAGCTCTCCAGGGAGCAGGCTGGTGGCAACATCTGCTGGCAGGGGACACAGGTGGGACAGCAGATCCCCGGATGGCAGGGAGAGGCCAGAGCTGACACCAAGTCTGCTGGGTGCGGGATGGTTCCCCCAGCAAGGGAACTCCTGTGTGGGTGCGGGCAGGTCACTCCTTGGTGGGTGCCGGAGGAGCGGCTCCTCGCCGTCCACCGTGAGCACAGTCGCGGATGGATATGGATGGCGGGACCAGGGCGAAGGAGGACCCGAGGCACTGGGGCAAATGCAACTGGGTTTATTTGGGGGAAGCCCGAGGGTCCAAGGAGGGAGGGAATCAGGACTACAAGTGCAGTTGAAGCGAGCTGGTGTCAGGGGTGAGCTGGTGGGCCGAAGCGGGATGGCAGGGGGTTTATAAAGGGGAAAGTGTAGGCAGGGTCGAGGTACAAATCAAGCAGTGGGTAGAGGGCTCGGAGGAGAGGACAAGGTTGGGTGATGGTGGGTGCACCTATGAGGATGTGGGGAGAGGGTGGTGTGCTTACAGAGTCCGGTGGGGGAGTGAGGAAGAGGGAATATTCCAGAAGGGAGGGAGTGGACAAGAGGTGATTGATGTTGATACGGTAGAATCCTCCCAGGGCGCCTCTGCCCCATCTTCCCTTTCCCCTCCTCCCACAGGAATGTGCTGTCAACCCTGGGGACGTAGATCTGTGTTCGTTAGAGTGAGAGAAGCTTGAAGGAAGTTTGAAGAAAATTACTGGGAAATACATATGCGTTCTCATAGTGTAAAAAAACTTTATTTTTTGTGTATGTCTATCCGTCTATGTATTTATGTGTCAATGTATGGATGTATGTATGTATGGACCTATCTGTCTATCTATCTATCTATCTATCTATCTATCTATCTATCTAAACTATCTATCTATCTTTCTTTCTTTATCTATTTATATTATTTGATTATGTGTCTTTGATGGGTGAGGGTGATGGGGGTGTGGGCAGGCTGACATTTGGTGCTGCTGTGTAATTGTGGCCGGCTGTAGGGTTTTTTTGCCCGCCGTTGTTGCTGCCAGACGTGTCTCATGCGAATCGGCCCAGGCTGGGAGCGGATGTCCATCGTGGATCCGTGGAAGATCCATGGAGGCCTGTATGGACGTTGTGGCCGTGGTGCTGGACTGTTGGCAGCCAAAGTGCCCTCAGACAGCCCCAGCGCTGCCTGTGTGGAAGTGCTGGGGCTGCTTTCATCAGCACTCTGGGCTGGCCCAGTGTCAATCCTGCGGCGTTTTGCTGGTGGGCCGTATGACACCACTGAGGCACTGTCTTTCTTTGGATAGCCACGTTTGAAGGCACACCGAGGGCAAGAGGAAGAGCTGGTGGTCTTGGCCAGGCACTTGCCCTGGGAGAGCTGTGATGCTACCTGGCTGGAAGTGCTGGGTGTGCAGGTGTCAGCACTCTGGGCTGGCCCAGTGTCAATCCTGCGGCGTTTTGCTGGTGGGCCGTATGACACCACTGAGGCACTGTCTTTCTTCGGATAGCCACGTTTGAAGGCACACCGAGGGCAAGAGGAAGAGCCGGTGGTCTTGGCCAGGCACTTGCCCTGGTAGAGCTGTGGTGCTGCCTGGTTGGGAGTGCTGGGTGTGCAGGTGTCAGCACTGTGGGCTGGCCCATCCTGGATCCTGCAGGCTTCTGCAGGAGGGCTGTGCGTTGCCCCTGACTGTATTTCTTCCTCAGTGTGGCACTGCTTTAAGGCCTGCTGAGGGCTGATGGAGCAGCTGCTCTTGGTGAGCACCGTGTCCTGG